CTCCAACTCAAAAAAAAACTGAAACTCTGTACCTTTTAAACAGGAACTCCCTGTTCCCTCCTCCCCCACAGCCCTGGCCACCACCATTCTACTTTCTGTTCCTATGAATTTGAGTAAGTACCTCATATAAGTGGAATCGTACAGTTATATGCCTTCTTGTGACTGGTTAGTTTCACTTAGCTTAATGTCTCAAGATTCATTCATGCAGTAGCATGTATCAGAATGTCCTTCCTTTTGAAGGCTGAATAATATTCCCTTGTATAGATATACCACATTCTGCTTATTCATTCATCCATTGAGATGCTTGGATTGCTTTCACTTCTTGCTATTGTGAAAAATGCTGCCATGAACACGGGTAAACAAAAATCTGTTCAAGTCCCTGCTTTCAATTTTAGGGGGTATATACCCAGATGTAGAATTACTGAAAACTGTAGTACTTCAATTTTTGAGGAACACTTGTCTTTAAAGTTTTTGTTTAAAAATTATCTTTAGTAAAATTAACTAGCCCTTTTCTAACAGAATGCATTTTTTTAAAAATAGCATTTTCCTTTTAATTTTTATTTTACCAGTTTTTTTGTGTGATGAACTCCTATCCCACCCTGCCCCTATCACAAAGGTCCCCTTCCCAGAACCATACACTGTTTTGAGGTTTTGTGGCATCCTTCTAGAAATCTGTTTATACAAACATATGTTTCCCTCTTTCACCCAAATAACAACATACTCTAGTTTTTATTCATCTAACTTTTGTTTTCACTCAGTAAATCTTGAAGATACTTCTGTATCGGCATATAGAGTTTACTCATTCTTTTTGACAGCTGCATACTTATCCACATGGATGTACCACAATTTAAAAAGTCTCCTCCAAACAGTCACTTAGGTTTTCAGTGTCTTGCTATTACAACAGTCAATGCTGCAATTACTAAACTTGTGGGTATACATCATATTGCAAATATGCAGGTACATCAGTAGAATAAACTACTAAAAGTGAAATTGCTTAGAACAAAGCAGTGGTTCTTAACCAGAAGTGATTTGGCCCACAAGGGACATTTGGTTATATCTAGAGACATTTTTGTTTGTGACAACTAGGGGGGTGCTGCTGGCATTTAGTAGGTAGAGGTCAGAGGTGCTACTAAACACTCTGCAATGCACAAGACACCTCCTCACAAGAAAGAACTATCCAGCCCCAAATAGCAATAGTGTCTAGGCTGAGAAACTCTGTGCTGAGTGTACGTGCATGTTAATGTTTGACAAACAGTTCTCAACTGCCCTCTGTAATGATCAAGCCAATTACTCCTCTGTAATAAAGTTTGACACTGCCTGTTTTCCCTATCCTCTCACTACAGTCTTACCAGCTTTTTGATCTTTGTTGATCTAAGAGAGGAAAAATAATATCCATTATAGCTTTATTTTGTATCTCTCATACTATGAGTGAGTTAGAACATATTTCACATTTCAGATTTTTTAGCTTTCCTATAAAATGTTAAAATTTTTGCCTATTTTTTCTGATTTGTTTGTTTTAAGATCAAGTGTTTATTTTTGCCTGAGCCCGCAGGTTCGAGACCTGCCTGGGCAACTTGGCGAGACTTCATCTCTACAATAAATCAAAAATTAGCCAGGTGTGGTAACGCGCAACTGTAGTTTCAGCTACTTGGAAGGCCGAGGCGGAAGGATCACCGAAGCCCAGCAGGTCGAGGCTGCAGTGGCCAGGAGCGGCCACTGAACTCCAGTCTGGGTGACACAGTGAGACTCCAATTCAAAAAACAAACAAACAAAAAATGTGTCCAGCCGGGCTCGGTGGCTCAGCCTATAATCCTGCGCCTTTGGGAGGCCGAGGTGAGTGGATTGCCTGAGCCCGCGGGTTCGAGACCCGCCTGGGCAGCGAGACCTCATCTCTACAATAAATCAAAAAATCAGCCAGGCATGGTAGCTCATGCCTGTGATTCCAGCTACTCAGAAGGCTGAGGCGCAAGGATCGCTGGAGCCCAGCAGGTCGAGGCTGCGGTGGCCGGGAGCGGCCACTGCACTCCAGTCTGGGCGACAGAGTAAGACTCCAACTCAAAAAAAAAAAAAAAAAAAATGTGTCCAGAACCATCAATGCATACTCTTGATAGGATGATTATTTGAGAATATCTAAGATAAAATATAATGAAGCAGCAAGAACTGAGGCATTAAAATGTAAGTACTACAGCTGTGATGGACGTGCTGAGAAGACTAGAGACTACAATCTCCACCCAGCACCCCGCTTGTAAAGCCTCTCTGCAAGGTTATCACTACAATTCCCACCCTCAGCTCCAGGGCAGGGGTGCATAAGATTTGTCCAGGGGGAGAGGCTATAAATCAGAGTTCTGAAATGCTACCTAAGGAGACTGACTTTATTTGGAGCAAAGTTGGGGGAGCTCCTACCCAAGAACTTTGTGGGAAACAATGGAGATCCATGAGATAAGCAATTTAGAGGAGGCGGGTCCTTCCAAGATATTAGTAGCAACAAGCAAAAACAGTAGACCAGTTAGATGTTCACCAGAACCACATAGAGACCACCACAAAGAAGATCCCTTTCAGGGTTGGAGCAAATCTCAAAGGCTGGCAACACTTTGCTCCTGCAGTGGTCTGACTTTAATTGGATTAGAATATAAAACAATTAATGTCTTACATTGTAATTGAAAGCAATAGAGCAATCTTTTTTGCAGTTAATGGAACTAACAGCTGAGTATGACACCCACAAAGGTAAAATAACCAGAAACTTAGTGGGAAGATTTTTTTTTTTTGAGTTGGAGGCTCACTCTGTCACCCAGACTGGAGTGCAGTGGCTGCTCCCAGCCACTGCAGCCTTGACCTGCTGGGCTCTGGCGATCCTTCCGCCTCAGCCTTCCAAGTAGCTGGAACTACAGGTGCATGCTACCACGCCCGGCTGATTTTTTGATTTATTGTAGAGATGAGGTCTTGCCAAGTTGCCCATGTGGGTCTTGAGCCCACGGGTTTAGGTGATTTTTTTTTTAAGTCAAAGAGAACTTAACTTAAATAACAATCATCCCTGGTTATCTATGACCAAGGAGAACAATCAGAGGCTACTAACATAAGGAGAAATAGACTTTTCTTATCTAATCCAGCCAAGTCACTATACAAGCAACAAGAAAAAACAATGACAAGCCCAAGAAAAGTATGAAGGGGGCAATATTGAGAGTTACCACATTATGTAAAATATATATCTTTCAACAAAAATTATGAGATTGGCAAGGAAACATGAAAGTGTGATCCACACAGTGAAATAATCAGGCAATATAAACTGCCTTTGAGGGAGACCATATGGCGGATTTAGCAGACAAAGTCTTCAAGGGAGATATTCAAAGGACACTATGTTTAAAAATTAAAGGAATACACAGTGATAATGTCTCATCAAGTAGAGAATATCATAAAGAGGTAGAAACTATTAAACCAAACAAACCAAATAGAAAATCTGGAGTCTTTTCAATATGATGAGTAAAATGAAAAAAATTCATTAGAGGAAATCAATAGATTTAAGCCAGAAGAAGAAAGAATCAGTAAGCTCAAAGATACTTAACAGAGATTATGCAGTATGAAGAACAAAGAGAAAAAAAGAACAAGAAAAATTAACAGTCTCAGAGAAATGTGGAACACTACTATGTTGTATAAACACATAGATAATGGAAGTAGCAGAGGAAGAGGAGAGAAAGAGGAATAAAAATTATTCAGACATAATGGCTGAAATTTTTCCAAATTTGATGAAAAAATATTAAGCTACACATCCAAAGAGCTCAACAAACTCCAAGTAGAAGAAATACAAATAAATCCATATCCAAGCCTGAGTAACACAGTGAGACCTGTCTCTACAAAATAAAAATTAAAAAATGTAGCCAAGCATGGTGGCATGTACCTGTAGGACCATCGTGGCTACTGAGGAGGCTGGGGAAGGAGGCTCACTTGAGCCTAGGGATTTGACGCTTGCAGTGAGCTATGACTTTGACACTGCATTCCAGCCTGGGTGACAGAGAAAACCTTGTCTTAAAAAAAAAAAAAAACCACACCCAGATCCATCATATTTGAAATGTTGACTAACAAGACAGAAAGAAAACACTGAAAGAAGCAAAAAAGAATACCTCATCACGTACAAGAGAAGTCCAACAAGATTAGCAGCTGATTTCTCACCAGAAATAATGGGGGACAGAAGGCATTGGGATGACATAGTTTAAGTGCTGAAAG